GCATCCTCCGACTTAACACTTCGGGAGGTCCGTCGATGCCATACCATCACCCTTACAGAGCGAAAAAACGGCAGATACGGCAATGGAGGGAATATATGCACATGCTGTGCTGATGATGATGATGACAATATGAGAATTGTGAGGAAGTTTTGAGGAATTCTCACTGGTTTCTGTACACTCCTACTAGAATTCCTATAATCACTACGGAAATTCCTGTGCTCAGCAGCTGGGGAAAGCGATTACATATATTCATACTCCAACACTGTATAGAAAACTCCTGAGCTCAGCAGCTGAGGAAAGCGATTACATATATTCATACTCCAACACTGTATAGGAAACTCCTGAGCTCAGTAGCTGAGGAAAGCGATTACATATATTCATACTCCAACACTGTATAGGAAACTCCTGAGCTCAGCAGCTGAGGAAAGCGATTACATATATTCATACTCCAACACTGTATAGGAAACTCCCGAGCTCAGCAGCTGAGGAAAGCGATTACGTATATTCATACTCCAACACTGTATAGGAAACTCCCGAGCTCAGCAGCTGAGGAAAGCGATTACGTATATTCATACTCCAACACTGTATAGGAAACTCCCGAGCTCAGCAGCTGAGGAAAGCGATTACGTATATTCATACTCCAGCACTGCGTTCGCTTCGCCCCAGTACTACCGTCATAACAGTTCTTATATAATTCTTGGCGGTCAAGACCAACTCATGGTAGAGTACCCACTCCGGTTTATGCTGAATAACGGTAGACGGATGCAACATCACCTACACATACAAGAAAAATACCCCACCCAGGAATCGAACTCGGGACCTCCTCCTTTTGTTATTACAACTTGATGCTCTCGAGTAGTAAGGTAAACCCCAGCCTTCTGCAGATGAGCCACTTGCATGAAAAAACCAGAGAGGATACACTTTCTGATATTATTCGTGAAACTGTAAAAATAATAAAAACTCAATATCGTCCTTCCCGAAGACCCCCACTACTCCGGATGGTTTCTAGCCAAGCTCAAGGCCTTCAACCCGACTCTGTCCGTCAGCCGCTTCAACTGCGCCCGGACGTTTTCCGCTGACTTCATCGTGCGATACTGAGGAGCATGATAATTTCGTGGCGCGTGACGTGGAATGAGCATTACGTTGATATAGTTATCCCACACCATTGCGACATCGCT